AGAGGTAACAAGATTATATATCTATTATCTGTTTACTTTACTCACACCTACCAAAGGATTACCACCATGCCAAGTAGTAGTCTTGATGAGAATGCCTACAGAATGATAGAAAGGATATTAGAGGAATATCTCTAGTATGCAACATCTTGGAAGGAACTCTGTTAACCTTTTGTGAAGTATGAAAAAGTAACAACTACAATCACAATAATAATGATAAAAGCTTATGAGGTGGAATATTGGCTTCAAGGAACATCTTATCCATGCTGAATCTTGATTGGTCCAATCAGTGGTGGGATTCAAATTTTTTTTACTACCAGTTCTGTGCGCATGGTTTGGCGGGCTTGATAGGGGAAGGATACTGCAAAATCCCCATTCCCTCCTCACCCCATTAACCTGCTTTCCAGCTCCGTTCTCCTGGGCAGGGCAACCAAAGAAGACCCAGCCAATCAGCTGGGAGGCAGAGAATAGATGGGGGCCTGGGCCAGTCAGAGGTGGTTTTTGCCAGTTCTCTGAACTACTCAAAATTTCCGCTACCTGTTCTCCAGAACTGGTCAGAACCAGCTGAATACCACCTCTGGTTCCAATCCATGAAGAAGACATAATTCCAGAGTTTGTCCTTCTTCTGCTTTGAAGGAGCATTTTTATTTACATTCTTACTTTCTTTATCCCAGCATTCCATCTCGGAACTATACTTGTCACGTATAACTAGATAATTAGCGCTTCCAATTCTATTAGCTGTCTTAAAAATGTCTCAAAAAGCTGTTAGATCTAGGACCAATACATTATTTTTCTGTTATGCAATTCTGCCTTTAGCTAAACCACGACACAGATTGCTAGAAATTCTTCAGACTGTTGAGTATCATTCTAAGCTTAGTGTCTGGGATACGTAGTATCTGTGATGCACAAAGAAATTGTATAGTTGCAGCTTCCATCTTGCCTTTCTTGACCTTCGCTTAACTTCAGTGTCTCTTCCTGGATAAGATTCCCATCTGGTCAACTTCTCTTGACTTCCATAACTACCTAAGATTTGCCAGAGGAAGAACATAAACTTAATCAATCAATCAATCAATCTATTATTCACTTACAAATTCTTCTGTACAATAGCTTCTGTACAATTAACTTTAGAAACCTGATTTTGTTTTAAAAAAGCTCCTATTTTTCAAGAAGATTTGAACATGTTTTTAAGTTGCATTTATGATTTCAGATCTACTAAGAAGTAAATTTGCTCCAAAGCTGCCTTTATCCCAGTTTTACCTCCTGCATTTGGTGGTGTTTTTGAAAAAACTGTATTATGTGTCTTTACTTTATCCGCAAATACATCTACAAATATTACAAAAGTTAGCCTTTATATTATAGTGGAATATAAATTTAGAAATTATAGGCATTCACAGGAGGCAAGAAAGACAGAAAGAACAATGTGTCTTACCACAAAAATTGGGTTGCTAAATATTTTTTGGATGATATTTGTTCATGGGTGACTTAGCAGGTCACTAGAACATCTACCCATGTGCCAATAAACAATGTACTATTTCTAACTCACAGTAGAAATTCCTACTGTCCAGAAACACTAAACTCATTTCATCTTTAACCTAAACCTTCTACCGGTTCCTTCTCTGAGTTCATCTCGTCCCACAAAGTTCTTCCTTCTATTCAAAACGATTGTGCCTCTCTTGAGATCTTCAAGATAGATAGATCTACAGTTCCAACACTTGGAGAAGGAGTTCTCCTGGATCTACCAGGGACTTTGCGGTATCCCTGGGATCGACAGGATGAGCTCTTCACTTTCACCATCTCTTCAGGACGGTTTAGATCCAACAGGACCGTCCAGGAGCAAAGATATCGGCAGCGATCTCAGACCTCCAAGATCGCATGCCATATCGTCGCGACGCCAGCTCCGCCCTCCTTCGAAATCAAACTCTTAAAGAAAACAGTTTATGGAGGGAGTAAACAGTTTATGGAGGGAGTAAATGCAGTCTGCACCCAAAGTAAAGTTAATTCAAAATTAAAAAAACAAACACAAACCACACTGAAGGAATTACTACGGCAGGCAAGGATGATTAATTGCAGACTTCTACCAGATAACGCAGCCACCACAGTTGGGAGGAAGCCAAAACATAGAGAAGCTCCGACAACAATAATACAAGTTTTGCTTCCAGCACTGGGCCACGCGCAGTTTGTCCTTTTACACAGTCCTCACAGCTGCAGCCCATGAAGGGGATCAGGGCCCCTTCCTCCCCCATAGACCATGCCATTCACATTTCTCCCTTATCCTCTCCTCCCTGCGTGCCCTAGGATGAAGAGGGGATGGGCCTGGGTCTTCCTCTGACTGCCCATCCGGCCCCTCTGCTCCCAAGTTTTGTGGTCTGGCACGCATCTTTATTTTTTCTGCACAAGAAAATTGGCCGCACACCCAAATGGTACTCTCCTGTACACACCAGAGAAATAATTTTATGGGAATAACTCAGATGTATTTCTAACTTGGCAAACATAGCTGCACCTTTAATGTATTTATTTACTTACATACTGCTGTAGAGGTCACTTGCTTTTGGCCAACCCAGTCTGGAGTGGTTAGCACCATCGCAAGTAGGAAACACAGCAAAACACCCTTACAGCCAAAAATGGAACACAGAATAACTTTCATAAGCGCAACTCTAAAATCTACAGAAGAAGGAGAGCTTTCAAAAATTCACGGGAAGCTAATCGAGAGAATCCACCTAGAACTAAGGTGAAATTTCCTGACAGAACCATTAATCAGGAGGTTTTTAAGAAGAGACTGGACAGCCTTTAGTCTGAAGGTCTCCTCCAAGGTCCTTTCCAACTCTGTTGTTCATTGAGTTAATTTATTTATTTACATTTCTCTTCCTGTGCACACTGAGAATATATCTGCTGAAAAAAAAACAACACTCCGTATTGGCAAAAGGAAGGACATCTGGCCAGTAAACACTCAGCTCTATTCAGTTTTCACCCCGCAAGGGATTATGGGGCCATTAAAATGATTGAGTTTATTTATTGTTGAGTGATATTAACTTACTTGGACTAGGCTCAAAAGGAAAGATAGATCTAGCAATTTGTTGTGCTCAAAAGGAAAGATTTTACAGTTGCAACGGTATTTCCTACTTTAGCCTGGCCGGATGCAGCCATTTTCAATGAAACAGGGCTATATGAGATGTTGGAATAAAAATTCTATTTCTTTGCTGGTTGAATGCGTGGGAAGGATCAGCTGATGCTTTCTTCCATGTTGGATCAATATTTTCCTAGCAAGTCAGTAATTTCTGCTTTGCATAGAACAAACTTTCCTGACCCAGAGCTCTTAACTCATCATCCTTTGATCGTTTTTTCTGGCATGAACTCACTTGACATTGTCGCAGTCTGTTCTTCCCACTTTCCACCTGGAAGATGGCAGAGATCCAGAACTCTTATCCAAGAAGAGTAAAGGGCCACGAACTGGATTGAGCATGTTTTGCTAGCATTAATTGCACGCAATGTTCTTTCAAATGCAGCATTTCACATGTCATAATCTCTTTCTCTCTCTCTCCTGAATAATGTTGGTTTCAGATTTTAATTAATGTATTATTTATTTGTTTTGCTTGTTTCCTGCTTTTATTATTTTTATAAACGAAGTGGTGAACATATCCAACACGCTTTCCCCATCTTATTTTCCCCACAACAACAACCCTGTGAGGTAAGCTGGACTGAGAGAGAGGGACTGGCCCAAAGTCACCCGGTCAGCTTTCATGGTTAAGGTGGGACTAGAACTCACCATCTCCTGGGGATTGGCCCAAGGTCACCTGCCTGCTTTCATGGCTAAGGCAAGACTAGAACTCACAATGTCCTCATTTCTAGCCAGGTGCCTTAACCATTAGACCAAAGTATAGGTTTAAACCCCCAATATTACAATTTCCACCCTGGAGAAAGATGGTGTGGCAGGTCACTCAGAGAGATTTTCCAACACAAGAAGAAACCTGAACCCAATGTGTCTAATTATTAACCTAAGGAGAGTTTATTTATAGCAAGATATAAAATATTAAAATACATAAAGTATACAGGAATACCATCATCGCATGCACAAACTCAAAGCCATTTTCTATGACCATACAATATAAATGTCTATGGAGGTTTTCCGTCCTCCAGGTCATGATTGTCCCAAAAGTGCTTCTTCAGGAGGCAACTGGACTTTCTGGTTTTTCTTTGAAGGTGTTTTGCTCCTCATCCAAGAAGCTTCTTCAGCTCTGACTGGATGGTGGGGAACAGAAGGATTTATACTCCTTGCGGACAGCTGGTCATTTGCATCCTTTTTAGAGAGTCTATGAGGTCACTTGGAGGTTTATTTGTGTCATCAGGTAAACATCATATGAGAAGCGAAATGTTCTCAAAGAAAAAGTCCAGTTGCCTCTTGAAAAACTGGGAATGTTTTTCTTATGCTTGCTTTGTCTTTGGGCTTAAAACTTGTTGGTGTCCATGTTATTGATTATTTCTGCCTAGTTTCTCCAAGATGTCTTCCATGGCTGTCTTCACCAAGAGTCCAGAATTTGGAAGTTCTTTTATATTCAGTAACTTCAATATTGTCAAGTTTTTGTCTAGTAGAGGCAGATAATACCTTTCAGCTCCTGGTGCTGGCTTCGTAATATCACTATTTGATGTATTTTATAGATATTGTTGACATTATTGATAGCCAGCTGTCATTTCATGTAATTTTGCTTTGTAGGTTGTTTGCCATCTCTGACAGTCATAAACTCCTATTGAGGCTTGAAAGGGATTTGGTAACGTTGTTGGTTTTTACAGATTTATATCATTTTTAAACCCAGTTTGTCCTATTCTTTTTTTTCTATTAAAAAAAGATTTTGCAAAGATTAATTCAGTCAATTATTTTCAAGACCTCTTCACCTCTGGAGTTTATTATTGGCTTACATGAACTGTGATTGGGCAACTGAGTTTTTCCTGTGCTGACTCTGCTCCACCTCTGGTTCATGAACTAAATAGTCCCTTCATACTTACTTCACATACTCTTGACTTTAAAGGCAAATAGGAGCGACAATTCTCAACAATTTGAACCAGTAATACTTTCTGTTCAACCTTTTCCCCTCGAACCATCCATCTTTCCAAAAGCAGGAGAAACCCAGAAGTCCAGGATGGATCACCTTCCATATTTCTCCATAGAAACTTGGGCGCTTCTGAGTTTATTCATTTGCCTTCTGATGTTGTAAGTAAAACATGATGTCCCATCTTCTTCTGCCTGCATGAATTTCAGCCTTGTTTGCTGTTAGTTCCTGTTGAGGCCCTCCTCATGTCCCATACAGAAAGAAATAAAATCTGATGGGTGATAGTCTACTATCAAACAAAGTTCTTCTAATAACTTTAACCCCTGGTTCACCTTAACTGATCTTGTCTCTCTTCTAGCTTTGATTGAAGATATCCAAGATTGAAGTAGGATTGTTTAGTCTGCACAGTTTTATTGTTGAGCTAGAATCAAATTCCACACACTGTTTTGTCCCATGCCGCCTAGTTTTCACTATGGAAACAGAAGAAGAAAATCTTTGCATAGTCTAGTTGACTTGATCTACTATTGGTGAAACTAGACTTCTACAGAAGCCTATTGCTTTGGCATCCTACTTAGTTCCCCAAATGTTCTGCAAGGAATTTAAAAAATTGAATTGTGATGGAGAACACATTTATTTACAACGGTGGGCTTAGAAGCTGAGTAGAGCCCATTCTATCACGTTCTTGACTTCTAGCCTGATAGATTCTACTTGAGGGTCTTCACCATTAAGACCATTAAGTAGATATCAAAGAACCTTTGATGTTTGGTGACAGCAACTCAGTCCTTTAGATCCTCCACTACCCATTGCTGAGTCCATCTACCTTGCAGATGTGACCTACCGAAAAATCAAGTAGAAAACCTAAGGAAGTTCAGACCGAAACTTCCTGGATGGATATCTTCAGGATTTCTTGCCAGAAAAGCTAGCTCAGCTCTGATTTCTCAGCAAGAAATTTGTCTCTAAGTTGCATTTTTATTTTTATTTTATTTTCTCCCCACTTTCCTTTTTGCCTTGAGCTGGTGGAAGGTCTAAAAGAAAACTTGTATATTTTTTTTAAATTGATATTTTTTGCTCAAGCTTTTAAGGTTTCTTTCTAGTCCAGGTCCCCTCTTTCTTTATGAAATGATTGCTTTTACCTCGAGGTTATCTCTCTCCGAAGATTTCTGCTGAAGCAGCAATAGCCCCCGATTATCAACAGGCCGGTGCTTATTAAACAGCCTTACAACATCATTATGGCAGAAAGCGTGGAGGAAGATGTTGCCAGCATGGACACACAAACACACATACATATATATATATCGTGCCAGATTCAATGCTTATTAACATGAACATGTTGGACTGCCTCTGGCGAAGATTGTGAAAGATCTTGTGTTCCAACTTTGTGTCCTGTTTATGAAGGGTTGCATTGCCATTTTTTTTTAAACAGCTAAGCCATTTTTTTCTTTTCAAACAGAATGAAACTATTTTTTTTTTTTAATCAGCAGCAAAACCAAGGTGGTGCTTCAAGCAGTGCATTGATCTGTTTGCAGATTTGCAGAACTGATAACAGATAATCAGAGTTGGAGGGGGACCTTGTAGGTCATCTAGTCCAACCCCCCCGCCAAAGTGGGAGACCCTACACCATTTCTGACAGATGGGAGTCCAATCTCTTCTTAAGTCTCAAGTAATGGTGCTCCCACAACTTCCGAAGGCAACTTCTGTTCCATTGGTTGATTGTTCTCACCATCAGAAAAATTCTCTTTATTTCTAGGTTGAATCTCTCCTTCTTCAGTTTCCATCCATTATTCCTTGTCTGGCCTACAGGTGCTTCAGAAAATAGCTTGACCCCTTCCTCCTCCCTGGGGCAGCCCCTCAAATACTGGAAGACTGCTATCCTGTTTCCCCTGGTCCTTCTCTTCCCTAGACTAGCCAAGCCCAGTTCCTGCAACTGTTCATTGTGTGTTTGAGACTCCAGTCCCCTAATCATCCTGGTTGCTCTTCTCTGCACGCTTTCTAGAGTCTCAACACCTTTTTAAAGTGTGGTGACCAAAACTGGATGCAGTACTCTAGGTGTGGCCTTACTAAGGCTAAAATAAATCGTTTCCCCTTCCTGGCTGTGATGCAATCTGTGAACGAGGGTTAAATTGGCAACATCCCATTATTCAGTGTAATACCCGTGAAGGTTCCTGATGCAACTACTGATACTCCTTGATTGACAACCTGTGTTTTAGTGACAGTTTGAAGTTAGAACAGCCCTGGGAAAAAAAAGCCACTTATGACCAGTCCTCGCACTTACAGCCAGTGTAGCCAATCAAATCAAAAGGGGCCTTCAGGCCAAGTGGGATTAAAAATGAGTCTTTCCTTGGACCCCGCCCCCCCAGAATTATATTTGCACAGTATTGGAAAAAGGAGGAAACACCTACAGAAGAAGATGTAATTTAAAAAAAAAATTTTTTTAGACTGTGCAGAAAGGAACAGCATTTTTGAACATGGGACTTTTTGTATAAATGGTTGGATAGCAGAGGTGGAAATCAGGTGTGGGAAAAGTATTATTATATATAAATAAAACGATCCAGACCATATGCTGGTCACTAAGGACTTATGTATGTGATGTGAAAATTATATAAATAGACTGTTAAAAAAATGAGAGTCTTTTCTTGCACCACTAACTTCTCCATCCATATTCAGACCCTCTTCAACCCTGAAAAAATATGTTCTCCTTTTACAGATATGGCATCTGGCCTTATGGAGTCTTCAGGAAGTTGGGTATTCCAGGCCCCATGCCTCTTCCTTTCATAGGTACCACTTTCTGGCTTCGTCATGTAAGTTTGCAGATTATTTTTATTGGCACGGGTTGAAGGGCATGCTTAAATTTCTGGAAGGGTTCAAATCTCTTAAGATCTGGGCTTCATCCCTGGAAGCTTTTCAAGAAGAGACTGGGCTGCCCTCTTGTCAGAAATGGTGTATGGTCTCCTGCATGGGCAGGGGGTTGGACTAGATGACCTACTAGGTCCCTTCCAACTCTGTTAATTTAACTATCTACCGTATCGGGGAAGAGAGGACTTGCAAATTGGGGGGTTTGGCTTAGGGTTTTTAATATGTTGCGTGGACTGGTTGAAGAAAACTTGCAGCAGGAGGCATAATAGAACGTAGAATAGTAGGGCTGGGAGGGACCTTGGAGGTCATCTAGTCCAACCCCCTGCTCTAGCAGGAGACCCTAACCCATCTCAGACTAGTGGCTGTCCAATCTCTTCTTAAAAACCTCCAGGGATGGACCACCCACAACTTCTGAAGGCAACTTCTGTTCCACCAGTTGATTGTTCTCACAATCCAAAGGGGGAAGGTAGGTTTAGGCCAGTTCAGGACCTCAGGGTCGTTAATTTGGCCACTGTAACCATCCATCCGGTGGTCCCAAATCCATATATCATTTTAGGCTTGATCCCCCCGACTGCCAGGTGGTTCTCAGTCATAGACTTAAAGGATGCTTTCTTTACAATACCTATACATGAGAGCAGTCAACACTTATTTGCATTTGAATGAGAAAGCCCTTTAACTGGTCGGAAGCAACAGTATACATGGACCAGATTGCCCCCAAGGGTTTAAAAACTCACCTACCTTTTTGGGGGCTGCCTTAGCTAAAGACATGGAAGCTTTGACTACACCCCCCTCCTGATGTGGTGTTGCAGTATGTGGAGGATCTGTTGATTACCAGTCACACAAAAGTTAATTGCTGGAAAAAGACACATGAGTTGTAAGGAGTAAGGAGAAATTTCCGGACAATTAGAGCAATTAATCAGTGGACCAACTCGCCTCCAGAAGTTGTAGATGCTCCAACACTGGAAGTTTTAAAGAAAAGATTAGATACCCATTTGTCTGAAGTGGTGTAGGGTTTCCTGCCTAGACAGGGGGTTGGACTAGAAGACCTCCAAGGTCCCTTCTAACTCTGTTATTCTATTCTATTCTATTCTATTCTATTCTATTCTATTCTATTCTATTCTTTGAGGGGCTGCTCCAAAGAAGAGAGTCAAGCTATTCTTCAAAGCACCTGAGGGCAGGACAAGAAGCAATGGGTGGAAACTAAGCAAGGAGAGAAGCAACTTAGAACTAAGGAGAAATTTCCTGATAGTTAAAACAATTAATCCATGGAACAACTTGCCTCCAGAAGTTGCAAATGCTCCAACACTGGAGGTTTTTAAGAAGAGATTGGATACCCATTTGTCTGAAATGGTATAGGATTTCCTTCCTAAGCAGGGGGTTGGATTAGAAGACCTCCAAGGTCCCTTCCAACTCTGTTATTCTGCTCTATTCTATTCTAAATATGAGCCACTGGCCAAATATCTGAATTTTGACCACGTGACCCTGGAGATGCTGCTATGGTCATAAGTGGGAACAGTGGTCACTTCTTTCACCACCGTTGTAGTTTCGAATGGTCATTAGACAAACTGTTGTAAGTTGAGGATTATCTATTAAGCTATTCCTTATTACCAGTGATTAGAGACGTTTGCAAATCTGTGCTGTGGATTTTATGGCAAGGAATGAGTTACAAGAGAGTTGACCTCAGAGCTACAAAGGGTCATTTTGCCTTTGACACTCATTCTTAATTTTTTCTCTTACAGGGAAGAACCAATTTTGATATAGCCTGTTTTAAAAAATATGGTAAAATTTGGGGGTGAGTATTGATTCTTTTCCTATTCGACTCACAAAGTTTCTGTGCTTGTTCATGGATATATGAAGGAGGGGATTCATATATGAATCATATATATATGAATATATATAACCATTGTTATACTTCAGCTAACCCATTGACCATTTATTCTAGGACTTATGAGGGACGACAGCCGATGCTGGCCATAACGGACCCTGAGCTAATTAAAATTATACTGGTAAAAGAGAGTTATTCCACATTCCTGAATCGTGGGGTGAGTGTCAACTTTGCAAATATTTTGACAACGTTGAGAAAAATGCTTTGATTATAGACTGAATCAGAGTGCGGTAATTACAACCAGGGGGTTGTAATCAAATTTTTTAACAACCGGTTCTGTGAGCATGGCTTAGGTGGTGGGTGTGGATTGGTGCTCATGTTATTGGCTGGGCATGGCCAACTCAATATCACGCATATCGAGGCATGCATCTCCTCGCCTGGTTTCTTATGACTGTGGGGATGCTGCAACAGTTGTAAGTGTGAAAAATGGTCATAAGTCACTTTTTTCAGTGCCATTGTAACTTTGAATGGTCACTCCACACAAGCAAAGTACCAGCAAAGGAGGGGGGAAAAACTCCAGAGAAGTTCCAGAGACAGGAAGTCTAGTCCTGCCAAGAATGTAATAAGGGTTAACGGAGAGGCAGTTTCTGTAAGCAACACCAGAATGTTTCCTTCCTGCCTTCCTTACAGGATTAGGCCAGTAATTTCTTCTGACAACCGGTTCTCCGAACTGTTTAGAACGTTAACAACCAGTTCTAGCGAATAGGTGCGAACTAGTAGAATCCCACCCCTGATTACAACCCAAGAGAAGGTATCTTGTAGGCACCCCTCTGCTGGGGACCTACATTATGTGGGTCCCAGGACATGGGCTTTTTCTCCAATAGTAACTTCCCTATGGAACATTCTCTTCCCACACTTCCAAGTCAGGTTAATGCCATCCTTGCTATCATTCCAGAAGTCCCTGCTTATGTGATCAGAATGTAATGGAATGTGTGAATGACCTTGGGGGAAGGAGGAAAGAGATGCTACTTAGGAAACAATTCGGGGTGGGAGTTGGGTGATTTTTTTTCCAGATTTTGTTCTATTGTACTTTATTAATTTATTTGATTCTTTTTGTTAGTTTTCATTTTTTATTTTTTTTTAAATATTCTGTTAGCCACCTCGAGTCGCCATGGGCGAATAGGCATCAATATAAATTCAAGCAAGCAAGCAAGCAATAAATAAATACAAAGATAAGATGAGATGAGACGAGATAAGGTAAGATAAGGTAAGATAAGATAAGATGATAAGATAAGATAAGATAAGATAAGATAAGATAAGATAAGATAAGATAAGGAGAAGCCCTAGTTTGCTTAAAGGAAGAAACTTAGGAAGGACCTGGCCTGATGCATCAACCAGTTAAAAGTGGAGATGGGAATCTTGCTTGGAAGTTGGTGTAGATAGATTGCCTTGAAACTATAAAAATTGTGTTTGCACACTGATGAGAGTTTCTAGGCTGGCAAAACCCTTTGAAACACAAACAGGTAAGCATTCACTCAACTCTCTAACCCTTTAAGCAAATGCAACCAACTTGTAAATTGTAACGATACTTAGCATCATATCTTGGTTTTGCTTGGTTTTCACCTGACTTGGTTAACAATGGCCTGCAAGCCAATATCCATTCCAGCCTAGATAGTCAAGTAGGAGCAGAAGCAATATTTCATCATGGACTTTTGTAGAATTGTAGGGTTTGTTGAGATTTATAACTATGCTTTTATAGGTTTTTGCCTATTTTTAAGGACAGGGGTAGTCAAGATGGACATCACAATGGTGTGTTCAAAAACCTGGTTTCCCCGCTCCCCCCCTCAAATGTGTGATGCAAATCCGTTTTTCTGTCTTTCTCAAATGTGCTCCTTAGAATTTTTTTCCACGGGGCCAGTTAAATACATCCATTGTGACAGCAGAAGATGAGCAGTGGAAGAGAATTCGCACAGTGCTTTCGCCCACTTTCACCAGTGGAAAGCTAAAAGAGGTGAGGGGTAAGAGGGAGAACCACAGCATTATGGCTACAGGGCAAAACCAGTGGTGGGATTCACATTTTTTTACTAATGGTTCTGTGGGCGTGGCTTGGTGGGCGTGGTGTGGCTTGGTTGGTGTGGCTTGGTGGGAATGGCAAGGGAAGGATACTGCAAAATCTCCATTCCCTCCCCACCCCACTAACCTGCTTTCCAGCTCCGTTCTCCTGTGCAAGGCAACCAAAGAAGACCCAGCCGATCAGCTGGGACTCAGGAGGCAGAGAATAGATGGGGCAGGGCCAGTCAGAGGTGGGATTTGCCAGTTCTCCGAACGACTCAAAATTTCCACTACCGGTTCTCCAGAACTGGTCAGAACCAGTTGAATGCTACCTCTGGACAAAACAATAGGTTCTCTTTTTCCCTCACTTGTATTTTTGTGCTTCTCCATCCTCTTCTTCTCCCTCAGATGCTTCCCATCATTCAGAGCTATGTGAAAAATTTATCAGTGCTTTTGCAGAAGAAAGCTGATCGAGACGAACTGGTGGACGTTAAACAGTGAGTAACAGCCTGACCATGTGGGCTGGATGGTCCCTCATTTGGAAACTGACTTCTTGAGGTGACAACTAGGGACGCCTGGACCGCTAGTGGAAAAGAGGAAACTTGAGGGTGATAGCAACAAAAACTTGTGGAAGAAGAGGAAATAGCAGATGACAATAGAGATCCTATAGAACTGTCCTCTAGGATTCCAAACTATGAAGTCTGCTTTGGATAAATTGGATGATAATAGACTAGACTAGACTAGACTAGACTAGACTAGACTAGACTAGACTAGAATAGAATAGAATAGAATAGAATAGAATAGAATAGAATAGAATAGAATAGAATAGAATTCTTTATTGGCCAAGTGTGATTGGACACACAAGGAATTTGTCTTGGTGCAAATGCTCTCAGGGTACATAAAAGAAAAGATACATTAGTCAATAGTCAAGAACCATAAGGTACAACAATTAATAATAGTCATAGGGTACAATAAGCAATCAAATCATACTAGGAAACAGTCAATATAAATTGTAAGGATACAAGTGACAAAGTTACAGTCCTACAGTCACAAGTGGGAGGGGATGGGTGATAAGGAGTGATGAGAAGATGAATAATAATAGTAATGCAGACTTTGTAATAGTTGAACAGTGTTGAGGGAATTATTTGTTTAGCAGAGTGATGGTGTTTGGGAAAAAACTGTCCTTGTGTCTAGTTGTTCTGGTGTGCAGTGCTCTATAGTGTTGTTTTGAGGAGTTGAAACAGTTTATGTCCGGGATGTGAGGGGTCTGTAAATATTTTCACAGCCCTCTTTTTGACTTGTGCATTTGTCTATCTTGTGGTAGATAGACAAATGGACAATAGAGGAGAATATTTGTAGCTCAAAATTGAAAGGAGGAGTCCTTGGTGCTCTCTGAGAATGGCTGTTTCACTGCTAGCACTGATGATGTTACCTGGTTTGGGTGACGAAAAGAAAATAAGAAAATAACCCAGCTCGGAGAGCATCAAGGACCCCTCACAAATGGACAAAAACAACAACCAGGTTCACTGAAGGTAAGCCACGATATCATCAAGCCCTAAATTATCTTAATCTGGCAGTACTTCAAGATTCCAGTTCAGAAGACAATAATATAGAAAGTCCCCTCTGCTGGAGTAGGCCCCATAGTGCCTGATCAAGCTTAAAATCCAGGTCTCAAAGTTCATGTTCTACCTCCAAATGTTGAAAATCTAGATCAAAGAGCACACTGAAATCTAGCAGATCCAGATCACCTAAAAGAAAATGTTCAGGCATAAAAGTTTGACATGTAGAGATGGAAGATTCAGGTGGACAGTTGAGGGCCTTCTTCCTTCTTCTTCCTTATTCTGACCACTTGTGCCTTGCATTTGTGCAGAATCTTCGGTGCCTACAGCATGGATGTGATCACAAGCACCTCTTTTGGTATCAACACGGACTCCATAAACAATCCCAAAGACCCCTTTGTCCAACAGGTGCAGAAACTGATGACAAGTAGCTTACTTTCTCCGCTGTTCCTTTTATCATGTAGGTTGGTTCTACCTTCAGCTTTGAAACTCATTCTTCGTAACCCCTGACAAGGTTCAGCACTTGTAATGGTCTGTGGGAATGGCCTTGGGAGAGGGGAGGAAGAGGTGAAGACAATGGTCAGATAAGAGGCAACTGAGACCATGGAAGAAATAGGAAAATGGCCAACAGCTCAGAAGGGATCCTAGTTTCTTAGACTGTAAAGGCGAGGCAGAGGAAGAGGGGTATTGTGATGACCCAGGGTGAGATACAAAACAAGCACAGTCACAGAAAACAGGGGAAGCCCCTTTTATTCCTTCACTTTGCTTCCAAGCTCTGCATATTCTTGACGGAAGCCAAAAAACTCCCACACAAACAGGGAAAAAGAAGGGAAAAAGCAACACAAACCAGGCAAGATAAGGGCTGGAGGACATGTACAATTAACATATACTGGGAAGGACGCCAAACTCAGAGAGGAACCATAAACTAGAGATATTTCCATGCTTTGTTTCCGGCACTTGCCCGTATGCAGGTCCGTACTCTTATTCAGTTGTCACAGCTGCAGCCCATGAAGAGGATTAAGGCCCTCTCCTTCTGAGTAGACCACATCTCTCCCTTATCCTCTCCTCCATGCATGCCCTAGGATGGATAGGGGATGGGCCTGGGTCCTCCTCTGACTGCCCAGCCGGCCTCTGCCCTTTCCCAGCCTCCTCCACAACCTCCAGAGCCACACCTCCACTCCCTGTTGGCTGTTCCTACACTCCCTCGGAGTCAGTCTCCACCAGGGCCACGACAGGTATCTCCAGACTTGAAAGATTCTGTTAGTATAACCTTACAATAAAGTTAGAACTTCTGGGTGTGTTTTCTGTCTGCACCATTTTGCGTGGCTGATGGCACTGAATCTCACAACCACTTTCCCCCTTTAAATAAATAATCTCACCACTCCAGTTTCCACTCAGGTGAATGTTCCCTGGCTTGATAACCCTCTCTTTCTGCCTGAAAGCAACCCACAACCTAGTTGCCCATTTCATCTGCAGGCTTCTTCTAACACTTTCTCCTCTCTTTCCAGATGTTGCCCCATGGTTAAAGCCTCTTCTTGAGAAGATGAACTTAAATATATTTTCCAACGAATCCATGGACTTCTTCACAAGATCCATAACAAAATTGAAAGAGAAGAGGGCCCAGAAGGGTGAAAAGGTAGGGGGAAAACCTGAACTATTAAGTGAATTCTAACCCCCCCCACCCCCCACCAAGAATCAGGAATTCGTATCTGTAATCTGTAATCGTTTCCAAGCTAAGTAGCTTCATAGTTAATTGTAAACAAAGAGACAATATTTGAGGAACTGTCTCAAAGAGCAACAAAAATGATTAGGGGGCTGGAGGCTAAAACATACGAAGAACGGTTGCTGGAAGTGGGTATATCTTCTCTAGTGAAAAGAAGGACTAGGAGTGACATGAAAACAGTGTTCCAATATTTGAGGGGCTGCCCCAAAGAAGAGGGGGTCCATTTATTCTCCAAAGCCCCTGAGGGCAGGACAAGAAGCAATGGATGGAAACTGATCCAGGAGAGAAGCAACCAAAAACTAAGGAGAAATTTCCAGATAGGAAGAACAATTAACCAGTGGTTAATTCTGGTTGGCTCCAGAAGTTGTAGATACTCCATCACTGAAGGTTTTTAAGAAGAGACTGGACAGTTATTTGTCTGAAATGGTTTAAGGCATCCTGCTTGAGTAGGGGGTTGGACTAGAAGACCTTTAAGGTCCCTTCCAACTCTGTTATTCAGCATTCTGTATCTAAAAAGGCTAGTTTAGAGAGCTGTTTGGGGAGCTTTCTTATCTCACTAAGAAGGCCTGTCTGTTTGTTTTACTTACTTTTTGGAAAATAAGAATTTTGAATGGTGCTAAGGCTTCATTTTGAGGTTCAGGCATCTGAACACAAAAACCATTCTTCAGGGCTGGACGACTATTGTTCTGATTTCATATGAATTTCTTCCTGGAATTTGGGGCATTTCAATTATAGTATAGAAAAAAAAGTCATAATGTAACAATTTTTGGGGGACATACTGGGCTTCTTGCGCAAAGGAATGCCATAAATACATAACATAAGATCGATACAACCAACTTTTGTGATGGAAATCTCTAGGATTTTGGTTGACTCAAATGTGGTTGTATCCTGAGCAAGACCGGCCACCTTTTGTTACATTCAAAACAAAACATAGCATTCCATTTTAGGTATAAGCATATCCGATTCTTTCCCGTATTAAATCCCTTTCAAATTAAACTGCAGCATTACAACCACTGACCTGGGAATAATGAGGAGATTCTTTCTGAATCAAATGGCATAGTTGTAATCAACACTCTGAAGTTGTTGCTATTGCGTAAATACCACACTCTTTGTTGGCCAGGTTGCCAAGGAGCAAAGCATTCTGAAATTTTATTATTTCAGGGAAGGGTGGATTTCTTGCAACTGATGATAGACTCTCAAAACTCCCTGACAAGCCACGAGATGAATGGTGTGAATCACACCTATAAAGGTAATAATTTGAAATCATCGTCAACGACCACATCTTCAAACCCAGAATCAGTGTTCATTGCTAAGTCTCCTAGTGTGGGAATTAAAAAAATCTATTTGTGCGAGACAGACAAACCTCTCCATGAAAGGGGGGGAAAAAGAAGCATTGAGACAGTTTAGAAATATTTTTAAGTAAAGTTAGTGGGCTTGACGGAAACCTCCATAAGATTCCAAATCTTCTTGGATGCAGTCTACAATTTCTCGATCCTGTCTATAAACTTCAGTTAAACTTAGTAGGAAACCATGCTAAAGAATGCCCCACCAATGGGTCACTAAAGAAAGATGACTCCATCCTTGTGCATCTTCTCCAATGTTCAGTAAGTTAGGCAGTGGTGGGATTCAACTTTTTTTACTACTGGTTCTGTGAGTGTGGCTTGGGGGGGGGCATTGCTTGGTGGGCGTGGCAGGGGAAGTATCAACTCATAAAACATTCCTATGCCTGTTTTAGTAGTTGCCATAAAAAAAAAAAATGGGGGGAGGAAGGAAATCTGGACGAGCAGTGCAGCTGTTTGAAAGTGAAAGTACATTCCAACTCTTATCTTTAAAAGATTGTAACTAAAATACCAGAGCTTTTGCCCGGGAATATATTTAATTGGAGAACGTGAAAGGTGACACCCAGCCTGTGAAGGTGCTCAATTGGAGAATCTGATTTATGACACACCCGGGGGGAGGGGGGGAACAGGGTCACAGGGGACAGTGAACGACATAGGCCAGAGTTGGCTTCATACAGGGCAGGGCCAGTATGTCGCCTCTAATGAATCCTTTGAAGCTTTTTGAAGTTTGGCTCGAGAATCATGTGTCAGCTTTTAAATTCAGCTGCCACATAATTCAAGGGGGGTGGAGGAGTTGAAAAGTTCAAGGTTATTCTGTATGTCGTACTAAGAAATTCCAGTTGCAGTTAATTGGTTCTCGTCATTTATGAAGTGTAGAAGTGGGAGGAGAGAAGGTGGATTCTGTGTAACGGCGCGAAAATACTTTCACTTTGGGAAATTGCCTTAGATGTACCAGATCTATTCCTAAATAAATCAATTGGAGAGAATATGTCTTGGAGTGATTGACATCATGGATACTTTCTGGATGCTTTACACCATGATTTAATTAGGACGATTGCTGGAATCCTGACAGGAAGGATACTGTAAAATCTCCATTCCCACCCCACTCCAGGAGAAGGTTACTGCAAAATACCTTTCCCTCACCCACCCCACTGACCTGCTTTCCAGCTCCATTCTCCTGTGTAGGGCAACCAAAGGAGACCCAGCCGATCATCTGGGATTCAATGGGAGGCAGAGAATAGATAAGGGCTGGGCCAGTCAGAGGGGGTATTTTCCTGTTCTCCGAACCACTCAAGAATTTCTGTTACCGGTTCTCCAGAACTGGTCAGAATCTGCTGAATACCACCTCTAAAGTTAGGGTATCTTGGCATCCGAAAGTGGCCTTCAATTTTTCTCTCTTCCTTTCTTCATGTAGGCTTGACTGACAGTGAAATTCTGTCTCAAGCAATTGTCTTCATTTTTGCTGGCTATGAGACGGTCAGCAGCGCCCTCAGCTACTTGATGTATGAACTGGCCGTTCATCCTGACATACAGCAAAAACTTCAGGAGGAGATTGAACAAGTTCTGCCTAACAAGGTTGGTGGCACTCAACTCTGATGTGATGAGGCTTTTTCAACTATGTCCATTAAGCTCCGCTTTGATTCCTATTGCCTGGAATATTAAGTATCCAATAACCTGGATATCTAATATTCCAGATGAGTAGTTATGATGGAACACTGCCCCCAGTTTTGATCACCATGTTACAAAAAAGATGCCGAGGCTTTGGAAAAAGTGCAGAGAAGAGCAACTAAGATGATTGAAAAAACAGTTGCAGGAATTGGGTATGTCTAGTCCAGTGATGGGATTCAAAATATTTTACTACCGGTTCTGTGGGCATGGCTTGGTGGCCGTGGCAGGGGAAGGATACTGTAAAATCACCAGTCAGAGGTGGTATTTGCTGGTTCTCTGAACTACTCAAAATCTCCGCTACCGGTTCTCCAGAACTGGTCAGAACCTGCTGAATACCCACCTCTGGTCTAGTCTAGAGAAAAGAAGGACTAAAAGAAGAGGGGGTTCAACTTATTCTGCAACGTACCAGAAGGCAAATCAAGAAACAATGGATGGAAACTAATCAAGGATAGAAGCAACCTGGAATTGAGGAGAACTTCCTAACGGTGAGAACAATTAACAGTGGAAGGGCTGGCCCTCAGAAGTTGTGGGAGCTTCATCCCTGGAGGTTTTTTAAAAAAGACTGGACAGCCACTTGTCTGAAATGGTATAGGGTTGGACTAGAAGACCTCCAAGGTCCCTTCCATCTCTATTCTGATTGATTGATTGAAGTAGCTCTTTAAGCATAGTTAGGTTTCCTTTAGATCAGCTGCTAAACAATGACAGACCAAAATCTAATCTATCCAAATTAAGGATTGATGCTTTTTTCTGGAAAAATGGCATAAGTCCTACACCAAAGCCTTAATTTATGGCCCCCTCAAGAACATTCTAAGCATTAAGGAAAGCCTGCTAACTATGATGATGACAAGAACAATAAAACACATCTTACACTTTGCACCTTTAGAACATGCAATCCATAGTGAGTATGTTGCTATGGTAACACTATGTCACCTCCTACAGCGATAGGGATGTGATAACACAGTACACAGCAAGCTGTTGTTGATACGTCGTCCTCTCAAAGAGCAAGCCAGCTAACCTGGCTTGGGTCCCAGACCTGCGGTTGATGAATTATTGTTTGTTTAGGGTCTCTGTGTTGTTTACAAGATGGTTTCAGTCTGGGATGCTCATTTGATGTTTTTATTTGTTTTTATGGATGGCCCAGTCTTGTAGGCCATCCAGAGTCCATTGGAGTTGAGTGACTAATATATTCTATCTTATTTATTTGTTTTTGTCAATTGCTTACAAGATAATAGGTATAAGTAAAAACATAGTTATGAATATATGGATACATATAAGAAAAATAAAAGAAACAATAGGACAGGGACGGTAGGCACGTTGGTTCTAAACAAACAAACAAACAAAGCATTGGACCTGGTTGTTATCTAAAGAACTTCAGAAGAACTTCAAGAACTATAAGCCAGACTGGGAAATTCAAAACACATCCTAGGAAAGACTGTGGGAAATTGAGAGAACCACATGAATGTACCTAGAGAGCCACGGGAGTTAACTTCCATGAATCCATGAGTTTTTGTCTGTGGAAATTCTCCATCATGTTTGGGTCATGGTTGTCCCAAAGGTGCTTTTTTTTCCCCCAAGAGGCAACTGGACTTTCTATTTTTTCTTTGAAGACATTTCGCTTCTCATTCAAGAAGCTTCTTCAACTCTGACTGGATCCATCCATCCATCCACCATCTAGTCAGAGCTGAAGAAGATTCTTAGTTGAGAAATGAAACGTCTTCAAAGAAAAACCAGAAAGTCCAATTGCCTCTTGAAAAAGCATCTTTGGGACAACCATGATCTGGATGATGGAGACCTCCATAGACCTTGAAGGAGAAGTTCTGAAGAAGCTTCTTGGATGAGAAGCGAAATGACTTCAGAGAAAAAACAAAAAGTCCAGTTGCCTCTTGAAAAAGCACCTTTGGGACATGAGTTTATGTTCTTCTGCTTAGATACAGATACTAACTTTTAAGGTTAGTTAGGGACAAAATGATCAGGGGCAAGTTTTTTCTATGTTTCTCTCTCTCTCTTTCTCTCTCTCAAAGGCTCCAATCACCTATGAGGCCCTTATGCAAATAGAATATCTGGATATGGTCCTTAGCGAAACCCTCCGAATACATCCAGGCACCACACGACTTCAAAGAGTGTGCAAGAACACCGTCAAATTAAATGGAATCACCATTCCCAAAGGGATGGGTATTACAATTCCACCTGTCATCTTGCACTTTGATCCAGAATATTGGCCCGAACCTGAGCAATTTAGACCTGAAAGGTACCCTTTGATATTTCTCTGGTTTTTTTTAAAAAAATTCTTCCAGTTGTCACAATCAATGACTTGACCGGTAGTGGGATTCACCCTTTTTTCTTTTACTACCGGTTCTATGAAAGAGCGCTTCACATGCACAGCCTCCATAAACCACCAGTTTTAAACTTCAAAACTGACCTTGTATTTAGCGCTGGTGATAAAACAGCTGAAGCATGGCAATGCGCTCACACACAAAAAGGAAATAAAGCATAGGAAAAGGGCGGGTGGGCGGCGCCAACTTCTCACTGGCACTACCGGTTTACTAGAACCAGTGAGAACCGGCAGCATCCCACCATTGGACTCGACGGTAAAAACATCAACTTGGGTTGAATCTTCCAGACAGAGACCTTGTTAGGTGGTCTTGGCAATGGCCAAAGTTGGCTTGCTTGTAAGGCAGAAACATTAGGTGCCTGTAATGGGCCGTGAGAATAACTTTGGGAGATGGAAGGAAGTAGCTGCAGCCTAAAGAATGGTCTGATAAGAGGCATCTAAATCCAGAGGAGGAATAGGGCTGAAGGAAGGATCTCAGAAAGGATCCTTCCTATTGAACATAAACCTAGAGGAGGAGAGAAAGAGATTTCAGACTTGCAAGATTCTGTTACTGTCATCTTACCGTAAAAGTTAAGTTAGTATTCCTGGTTTTGCTTACCTGGTCTGGACTCCCTTGAAGGGGCTAATGGTGCCACCCTAAGACTCTTCCAACCTGGCCCCTTTGAAGAGTCCCAGGAACCACTGGAAAGATTCAGAAGAGGCGCAACTTGCTGAAATGAGAGGCAGTCCATTCATGGAATGAATTGGTGGTTGTCAGGTGTGAAGAATTAAGATCACGTGTTCAACTCCAGTTAAGCTGATTTAGAGGCTGAGCTTGTCGAGCAGGAAGATCGGCAGACCGGCAGTTCGAATCCCTAGTGCCGCGTCACGGAGTGAGCTTCCGTCACTTGTCCCAGCTTCTGCCAACCTAGCAGTTTGAAAGCACATAAAAATGCAAGCAGAAAAATAGGGACCGCCTTTGGTGGGAAGGTAACAGCGTTCTGTGCGCCTTTGGCATTTAGTCATGACCATGACCATGGAGATGTCTTTGGACATCTCTACATGACCATGGAGATGTCTTTGGACAGCACTGGCTCTTCGGCTTGGTAACAGAGATGAACACAGCCCTCTAAAGCCAGAAAAAACTAGCGCATATGTGCGAGGGGAACCTTTACATTAATACCTTGCACCCAAGAATGAGCACTAATTTGGTGCTAGAAAAGAGTTTAGGGAATTCGAGACAGGTTGGACTTAGACTGTTTGTGGGCATGTAACAATTCCAGGCTGATTGCTCTCTTGACTCCACCCCCAGGCTCTGCCTGTTCCTTTTCCTACAGCGGTTGACTATTGTAATTGACTGAATGTCGGCCTGTCCCAACAGATTCAGCAAAGAGGTCAAAGAAAAGATCAACCCTTATACTTACTTATCTTTTGGAGCTGGTCCCCGGAACTGCATTGGGATGAGATTTGCTTTCCTTACCATGAAGGCCGCTGTAGCCAGCCTGATGCAACGGTTCACTTTCCAGCCCTGCAGAGAAACTCAGGTGAGGATCAGGAACAGAGCTGCGTTCATCTAGAGAAGGAAAACAACAGGTTGGCATCAAACTCCCCCACCCCCTTTCTTTCACCATAGCAGAGACAGGAGATCGAATGAAAGTGTCATGCAGACAGCTATTCTGGAGAGTAAAAGCTCGACAGGTAACGCTTCACCTGCAGCCCACATAACACCAAGTATTTGGAAGATGCCGCTTGCATTTTTTGAGGCTTAACCCTTAACTCTCCCTTCCCAGTTGGAAGAAAATAGAAGCGTGGATTCAAAAGCTGTGTTCTTGGCCCATCTCTGTCCTTCTTTTCTAGCATGGATCCAAGTTCCAACACCACAAGGGAGAAACGCAAATACATTGCTAATGTAGAGATACATTTATATATTCCCATATAGAACTCAAATCATTTATTCCCAGTCCTTTTCGAGGAGTGCTCAGGTGTTGTTCCTACTATTGACGTCACTAATCCCTAACACTGATGATGTTACCTAGTTTGAGTAAGGAAATTTCCCATCAAAGCATGAGAATAGGAACAGCTAACAAAGGAGAGAATGTTTGTAGCTCAGGGTTGAAATGAGAAGTCCTCAGTGCTCTCTGAGCTTGGTTGTTTTTTTGCAGTCATTTTATTACCAAACTAGGTAACATAATCAGTTAGCAACATCAGTGGCAGGAACAATACCTGAGCCTCCTATGAAAAGGACAGAGAACAAGTGATTTGGATTTTACTCCATGAGTGCAGAACCATTGGTCTTCATTAAGGTAGTCCAGCTTGTTTCTGCATAATGAATTGTGAAGATCTTCACTCATGCAAGATCTGGATCTTTTCTTCTGAATCATGTCTGAAGGACGCATCTAACCCTGCTTCATCAAGAATGGTCAGCCACGAATTGGCCAGCTACTTATCTTCAACTAAAGCTACAGAAGATAGGATAGATTCTCTCTATGGGTGCTATTTTTTTTTCTAAAGAAAAACTTATTGTCCAATTATGGGAAGGCAAGAATCAAACCATGAAGACATTGGTATATATTAGGAAATATATTATAGGGCAAAATGAGATTTCAAAATCTATCCTCCAACACACTACAATCACTTGGAATGGACAATCCGTAGATTGGAAATTCTTATAACAGCAACCTACCCTCAGATGAAGTAATCCTAGAAAACATCCAACACCCTTCCCTAATGTGGATTCTTCCAAATTTGTAGATTCTGAGTCCCATCATTCCCAGCCAGCTAAACCCAACGATAGAATTATACTTGGTAGAATGAATAGATGATAGAAATCCAGGCCTTGCTCTGAATTTCCCTGCATTTTATTTCCTTGTATTTAAACATATCTTATTCATGTCTTTCCTGTTGCAGATCCCATTGGTGTTTTCCACAAAAGGGATCTTCAGAAGGCCTACAAAACCCATCATCTTGAAGATCATCCACAGAGTCTAAACCAAGGCAGGGATTCCCCCCCCTCACCCTTAATGGAGTTTCTATGCAACTTTGACAACTTAGGACTACACCTTAGAACTGAGACAACTTAGAACTATGCCACCTTTGGACTGACCTAAGTGTATTACATAAAATTATCTGCTACAATGTCCTTCCTGTCAATGACTACTTCAGCTTCAACCACAACAATACAAGAGCAGACAATAGATACAAACTTAAGGTAAACCGCTCCAAACTCGATTGCAGAAAATACGACTTCAGCAACAGCGTGGTCAATCCCTGGAATGCATTACCTGAGTTTGTGGTCTCTTCCCCAAACCCCCCAAACTTTAACCTTAGACTGTCTACTGTTGATCTCACCCCATTCCTAAGAGGTCTGTAAGGGGCGTGCATGAGTGCACCAATCGTGCCTACCAACCCTGTCCTAATGTCTCCCTTTTATTCGTATCCATTTCATGTCCTCATAATCATGTTCCTAATTATATCTGCTATCTAAAACATGCTTGACAAAATAAATAAATAAATAAAATAAAAATAAAATTTTAAGGACTATTTTTTAAAAACTGGAAAATGGATTTTACCTGGCTATTATGAATTCTCCTCTCTTACTCTCCATCTCTCTCTCTCTGTCTGTCTCAGTCTCTCTCTCTCTTCTCTCTCTCTCACTCTCCGTCTCTCTGTGTCTCTCTCTTTGTAGATAATTGTAGGAGATTTAACTAGCATGAAGATCCCTACTCCTAAAGATGGATGAAATCTGCCACTTTCACTTTTTCTTGACTTGTTTTGTTTTGCAACTCAGGTTTTCTCTGTGTCACTCCACTGAATCGTGTTCTATATCTTTACCCCCAAAGTGAAGTGGATGAAATTCTTCCTCGGTTGGAGTAGCCAACGGGAAAAGAGCAGAACTGTTCAAAATCAGAGTCCAGTCAGGCCAGGATAGAAAACTGGCCTTTGAAATCATAAAGATTTCATAACAGAGGCTTTTATTCTCATGTCTTGCATAATGTTTCTTTGGAATCCTGTACAAGTATTTCGTAACTAGCTATGTGGAGGAATGACAAGAATTTAATAAAAAGTCAGCTATGTTTTCCTGCATCGTTCAAATGTAAACTCTGGAGAAGGCAGGTTATAACTGCTCTCCAAGAAACAGTTTTTAATAAGAAACAAACTCTAATAAAGGAAAAAAAATAGGCTCTGAAGCTGTTCTTCAGATATACCCATTTATGTAATAGTTGTGGAAGTGTGAATACAAACAAAAACTCCAAAGCCACTGACGTTGCCAAGTTTTGTGTTTGTTCTTTTTAAAAAAAAAATTTGGTGGTATTTTTAGGAAGGTAACAGAATAATGGACTAAAAGCAGAAAGCCTTTCTTATTTTCATTTGGTTTAGTGTGGAAGGAAGGAAGGAAAAAAGGAAAGAAGGAAGAAATAGGGAAGGAAAGGAAAGTTTTCTTAAAGGAAGGAAGGATGAAGGAGAAAGAAGGAAGGCTGGGAGCAGGGAATGAGGGAAGGAAAAGAAGGGAAGGAATATCCAAATTATCAAAATTATTTTCAGCAAAACGATGAGGAAACACACACATTTTTTAAAAAACAGCCTCAGAAGAACAAAAGGAAACATAGAGCAGGAGAGAAATATTTGCATTTAGTAATCAAAACAAGCTTTTCTAAGTAGGATATTTAAAATGAATTATTGTTAATCTCGGTGTAATGTGCTACCCCCACACCCCCACAGTGCACAAAGCCTTCAGAAATAAAATCATTAGTGTAACTGCATATGCTGCTTATTCTCTTCAAGATAGGAGGAAAAAAAAACACAGAATAATTCTGTGCCAAGAGACAATTAGAGCCTGCCGTTCCCTCTGCACAAGGCCATATGCATCAAGGGGTAACAAGATAATATTAATAAGCATTTTGCAGAGAAAATTAGATCAATAATGCTTTGGCGGCACAACATCTAATTTGACAATGATACCCCCAATGAGTTGGCAGAAGAAAAGCAAAACCTTGCTGGATACCTTCACCTTCATCCCACCTTCTTTTATTTTTAGCTCCGGTTAAAGGCAATACAACTAGTCCTCGAATTAGGACCACAACTGAGCTCAAAATTTGTGTTGCTAAGTGAGACATCTGTGAAGTGAGTTTTGGCCTATTTCCTGGCCACCGTTGTTAAGTGAACCCACTGCAGGTGATAAGTCAGCCACACAGTTGTTCAGGGAATCTGATTTTGCTTGTCAGAAGGTCGTGAAAGGGGACCACATGACCGTGGGAACGATTTCATAGATTTTCACGGGTACAGGTATGCAGGTCTTGGCGTGTTCGGGTCTTTTCCCATGTAAGATTGAGAGTATCTTGGCAACGTTTCGACAAGGTCCCACTCGCCATCTTCAGGCTGGTGCTTTCGGCTTCGTACTTGTGTGAGCACAGCGTGATCGGAGCTGCCGTCTCTCTATAAATACTGGTGGGGAGGTGTGGTGTGCTTTGGTCCTTCTCTCCTTTGGTCCTTCTCTTCACTAAACTAGACACATGCCCAGTTCCTGCAAGGGTTCGTCTCTGTTGTAGCCTCCAGTCCCCTAATCCTCTTGGTTGCTCTCTCTGCGCTCTTCCTACAATCTCAGTGTCTTTTTTTATAGTGTGGTGACCAAAACTGGATGCAGTACTCTAGGTGTGGTCTTACTAAGGCTTTATAGAGTGGTCGTAGTACCTCGCGTGATCTTGATTGGATCCCTCTGTTAATGCAATTTAGGATTGCATTGGCTTTTCCCCCCCCTGCCGTTACACACTGCTGGCTCATGTTTATTAACGTGAACTAACCCCAGTCGTCTCATCACCTCGAGAGCAAAAACACCTCCTCAGAGAAGGCTTTTCTTTCAACCATTTTCTTGTTCATCCTCCACATTAGCCAAGAACCGGGAGTTTCTCAGTTATATTTTTAAGCTTTTCGTTTGGCGAGATGCAAGGTCGCTCTTGACCTTCTCATGATAACTTTTACTCTGTAGAGCACAAGAGAAAACTGGTCTTCCCACCTCAGAAAAACCAAAAGGCAGATGAAAAACTGAACTGGCAAAACCTAGAAGAAACTTCCCACTCATTGGATTTCCTCCCCTGGAATTCAGCACAGTTTGGTTGACGTTTTAAAAATGAGTTGTTATTATCTTGACAGCTCCAGCAGAACCTGAGGGGTAAATCCATTATTGCTGTATATTATTGTTCCTAGCTGGAGTTAGAAGCTAAGTTTTTTTTTCTTCTTTAAAAGCAAGCTTGCCTTGCGGGGAACGATATCATTTTTCCCCAAGTGCCTTTCGTGGCAGGGAACATAACGGGAGTTCGCCAAGCTCAATTCCGTGGCAACTCCAGGAACTAAAGATTTTGGGAAGAGCCGTTGCAACATTCTCAAATGCTGATGAGTCCTCGGGACTGCGTCACGACCGAAAAGAATAAAATCAGATTGCACATGGGTGGAAATTAAAAATCTGGATTATTGATGAGAAGGTGGGAGGATGGGAAATAGGGCAAGGTTTAGATCGTTCCCAGGTTCATAACCATTGAAAATTAACAGATTTTGTCTCCACTTGGGCTTCTAATGATCCTTAACTCCATTGGTTGAGAAAGGGATTATCGTTTACTAGAAGTCAAGTGAATTACGGGAGTGTAAAGCCGGAATGGAGAGTTCATGCCAGACTTTTGACTGTTAACCTTCCTCCCGTGGTCCCTTTCCATTGTTGATCTCTCATTCTCCAATCAACTTTTAAAAAGATGTTTTGGAAACAGAAATGACCTTGAAAAACTTCGTTGTCGGTTCTCACAGAGATGGGTTCTCACCCTTCGCTTTCATTTTTCCCCAGGCCCTCCATCTACCTTCCAGCTTCCCCCCAGGGTTCATGGCAGACTGACAGTGAGGTGGCAGTTCTGACATCACCAAAGGCCCTTCAATTATTTCTCTTTTCCAGAGTAGAGCTATCTGACAGGCTGCATTGCTGTTGCTCCTCTCTGATTTGATTAACCGATTCATGATCAGAGTTGGAGGCTTCCCAATGTTCAACTTGTCCAGTTTATTTGGTTCTACTTTCAGAGGACTCTTCTCCATGGTTTGGAAGTTCTACTCATGAGTAATGGAGAGAGACATTTGAATCTGGAAAGAGTGTAGAGAAGAGCAACAAAGATGATTGTGGGAGGGAGGGTGGAGGCTAAAACATATAAAGAATGGTTGCTGGGACTGGGTATGCCTAGTTTAAGGAAAAGAAGGACTAGGAGTGACATGATAGTAATTTTTCAAAATTTGAGGGACTGTCAGAAAGAAGAGGGGGTCAACCTACCCTTCAAAGTACCAGAAGGAAGAACAAGAATCAATGGATGGAAACTTATCAAGGAGAGATCCAACCTAGAATTAAGGATGAATATCCTGAGAATAAGAACAGTTAGTGGAAGGCTTACATTCAGAAGTTGTAGGTGTTCCATCACTGGAGGTTTTCAATAAGAGACTGCCTTTTGTCTGGAATGGTATAGGGTTTCTACTTGAGCAGGGGGTTGGTCTAGAAGACCTCCAAGGTCCCTTCCCACTGTGTTGTTATTCTTATTCCACTTAGACTGAGAGGGGCATTCTCTTGCACAATTCTTGGAACCGTACCAACTCTGCTCAAATCTGATGGCATAGTTTATTACTGTTTTGAGACAGGAAACAGACAAATGTTGTCATGTAAGCCTAACATAAGAATAACACTGGAGAAAAATTCCTCATGTGTCCAATCACACTTCGCCAATAAAGAATTCTACCCTATTCCATTCCATTCTATTCCATTCTATTCTGAATCCTGTTCTGTTCTATTCTATTCTATTCTATTCTATTCTATTCTATTCTATTCTATTCTATTCTATTCTATTCTATTCTAATTCTAATTCTAATTCTAATTCTAATTCTAAATCCTATTCTATTTTCCTCCACTCTATTTTCTACCCTACTCTACTCTACTCTACTCTACTCTACTCTACTCTACTCTACTCTACTCTACTCTACTCTACTCTACTCTACTCTACTCTACCCTACTCTACCCTACTCTACTCTACTCTACTCTAATTCCATTCCATTCTGTTCCTATTTCCATCCCTATCCTATGGACTATCCTACAATAGTCCAATTTTAAAACAA